GGTAACCGATATCCCTGCATCGTGCACGACCCTGTATCTTGCACGCTTTAATTTATTGAATTAAAAATTGATTATAAATCCAAAACTGCTTATAATAATATTAAAATTTATAAAAAACAGATTGAAGATCAGCTAAATATAATAATAAGTTTTTGATAAATTTGAAATATCAAATAGAATATTAATTGATTTTAAAAAATAATATTTTAAGATATTAATATTTAATAAAAATTTATATTAGAATAAATTTATATTATTAACAATAAAGTTTTTTGAATTAATTTATATTAGTATTATTGAAAAAAAGCTTGAAATTCTGAACAAATATAAAAATTAACGTTTTACACTATCATTTTAAAATATGTATAATATTCAAAAAAATAAAAAGAATTTAAAAATTCTTTTAAAATATTTTAAAATGTTTTTTTATAGATTTTTAAGAATTTGAAATTATTATTGGATTTTAAATTAGAAATAGAATTTTTATATAGTAGAAAATATATAATATAATAATAAAAAATTATAAAAAATACTAAATAATTAAAAAACTATAACTTATTATATTATAAGTTAATATTAAAACACGACAAAATAAGAAATGAAAATAAAATATTCTAATTTTTTAATAAATAAATCTATTATTTTTTTTAAAAAAAACTAAAAAATATTATAAAATCTATTTTTAAAAGAATTTATTTTTTAAAAAAAATCCTCAAATTTTATAATATTTCTAATAATTTTACAGATTAAATATAATTATAATTTAATATTATAATATATTCTGTTTTTTATTAATATTCAAATTAATTCCATTTTTAAATTTTTTTTAAAAAAAATCTTTTTTAGAAATATCTTATTATTAATTATATAATCCTAATATTTAATTTTATAATTTTTTTAATAATTGATAATATATATATATATTTAATAAAATATAATTATTTTTAGTTTTTCTAATCAAAATTAATCTATTAATAATATTATATAATTGAAAAAATTAAAAATCATCATAAAATACTTGATTTATAATCAATTTTTTTTAAAAGAAAAGATTATTTATGAAAACTTAAATAATATATTGATATAATATCAAACTTATAATATAAAAACTTGATTTTTTTATTTCTTTATATTAAAATATATTCAAATTTATAAAAAAGAAATTGAAAATCAATTTTCGCTATTTCTATTAATAAATAAATTAATATATAATATTTTTGTATTAATAATTTTAATATTGAAATTATATTATATATAATAATTATTTTTATATTTTGATTACTTTATAAGAAATAAATAATAATATAATATATTATATATAATTATTAATAGAACTCAATGATTGATTAATTATATATTGAATTTAGAATATCTTTTTTAAAAGAAATAAAAGTGTGCACGATATAGGGGCGTGCACGATGTAGGGATATCGGTTATAGAATTACCCCTCCATGAGCCAATCCCATTTCATAACCAATAAATTTACTTTTCCATCACCAATCATGCTCATTTCCAATAGAAAACTTCGTGTGTTGTCCATTTCAAAATATCCCTATCCAGTTCGGACACAAACGCCTCTCAAAATTCTGATGAATCTGACGGTGAGGCTCGCAATTTCCAATCCCTTCCGTTTGTCGTGTTTTCTTTTGATACGATGGACTGCATCTTTCTATTTACGAGTGGGCATGGGCACTGGCATGAGCACTCGTACATTATACAAGGTATTTGGCTTCTACAAAGTGGTTACTTTATTCCATAGGAACTCTTAGAATGGTTCTCAAGCACATTCGATACCTCAAGTAACCGAGATGTAAATCAGACAATCGTTGTATGCTATTGTCTAAAGTCGAACTCATTTCTGACTCTATGATAGCGAATCATGCAATCGAACATGTATAATCATTATTGGCATATTTGAAGTTCAAAGAATCTGTTTTCCATTATACGCAGTATCACGCAGGAAAATCTCCGGATACCCAGGAAATTTGAGCCTCACTGAGAGTCGTTCATTCTTCCCTACATAGGTCAAGGCCAATTAGAGTAATATAATGTCCGGATACACCCCAGATTACCCCGGGTATGCCCAACCCTGTGCCCAACCCTATTTATGGGCTAATGAATGGATAAAAAAGCAACAAACCCGTCGTTATTATCATGCAGGCGCCCGAGACAATGGAATTTGCCAACTGTCGAAGCTTGAGGGAAGCAAGATGATGTGGGTGGGAGCTACCATTTATTCGGCTACAAGTACTAGTCAAGGACTGTGATAGTTTTACTATTCCAGAGATAGAAGACTTTCAGGCTGAAAGAAAGAAATGAACTCGATGCTTGCGCTAGCTATTTTCATTACTGCCTCAATCCTTACATACTGTTTAATCTACATTTCGACACGATCAAAACTCCACCGAAGATGCACCTGCAAAGAAAACATCATCTCGATCCGAAAACTGTCAGAAGCGACAGAGATTCTGGAAAAATCTACACTTCCCTCTCGAGCTCTACCAAATCAGCGACTTGTGCAAGTTTTCTCCGTTTCCAACGCATTCACAACAACCGATCAAGATTTCTACAAATCATTCCTCAGAAGAGCTAAATCTCTATTGAAGACATCTAATGAACCAACCTCCTCCAATTTACCAAGAGTCCTCTCTATTCTCAAAGATGAGACCTCCCCCTCCATCTCTGAAAATGGAATCATCCCGCTCAGTCCACTAATTCAAGTCTTCTGTTTTCGATTCGTACTTCTCAAATTCTTTCCCTCCGAACATACAAGATCCACACAAATCCCCATCATCCGCATAACCCAACTCATCAACTCCCTCTGGATCTCATCCAAATGTTCCTGTTTCACCCACCCCTCCCAAATCCCCATGCAGAACTCCGTGCGTCGCGAACTCGCTTCGCTATCCCTATCCACCCACTCCGAGAATGAAAACCCACTCAACATTCTTCTCCCTGCATACGAAACGCTGTGGAGGATTGTTCTGCGTTGTTTCCTGGAAATCTCGTTTCGTCACTCGTCTGATCTTGCGACTGAGTGGAAAGATGTTCTCGCTCGATTTCTGACAAATATGACAGCTGAACAGTTTGGCGAGCGGATGGGAGAATGTTCGGCTCGAGATATCGTCTGTGAAGCTCTGCGTTTATATCCACCGACCAAGAGGATTTATCGGCAGAATGAAGACAATGGACCAATCTTCGCAGTCGATGTCGAGTATATACAAAGGACTGAAGAGATTTGGGGAACAGATGGAAATGAGTTCAGACCAGAACGATGGTGTGAATTGGAGCGTAAAGGTAACATGGCATATAAGGAAGCATGGATGCCGTTTGGGAAAGGTAAATTCCCGTGTCCAGCATCGAAGGTGGCGCCAATGATGATTGGAATGTTGGTCGGTTGTTTGATTGATACTTTTGGTAGCGACAGTTGGATTTTGGAAGGGGAAAGTGTCAAGAATGTATTGCCGAGGGAAATGCCGCTGGATAATGGAAGGGAGGCGTTTGGGGATTTATCACTGAGACGCTATACTAATAAATTGTTTGGAATGTAGGTGGGATGGAAGATATGACCCTTGGCCTGATAGAAAGGCCGGAGGCGCTGAGTTAAATAACTATAATTTACGTTCAAGCTTTAGTGGTGTGAGTGGACTAGATCCATCCCTCTTGATTTTTAGTTCTTGTGTAAAGCCTGGCCTCCTTCCCAATTTTCTTTCTTCCAGACTGCTCTTCAAGATATTTCTTAGCCGTGATGTTGTCTGTGAAACTCCTCAAGTTCCATGGCATGTCCATCTTGTACCGTCTCTGTGGCGCCATTCTTGACAACCCCCTCGTCCTTATCTGAAGACTCTAGGATATCCCCATGACTGATATCATAACAAAACAATACTTTCAGCTTCTTAACAGCACCGTCGCTATCAGTGTATACCAAGAAATCAAAACAGTTCTCACTACTTGCCCAGAGCTTCTCCACAGCTTCTACACTCGACGATATTGCGTTCTTATGGCTTCTAGTTTTCCCATCTCTGCAGATCCAAGGACCCGTATGCAGTTTCTTGTCAAGTTTGGAATGCTCTGCGCATCATCCTCAACAATTTTGGAGTTCTCTTCTGTCCCTATATATTTCCTGCAACTCATGACTACCCCCCTCTGATGCTCATAGCTAGAAAATCCCAGCTGAAGGCTCTGATTTCGCTCTCGATGCAAATAATCGAAATCGTTCGTTCCTCAAAGTATTCATGAGCAAGGGTGATTCTTGATGACTTTATTATATACACAAATTTGGAGCCATAAGTATCAAACAACGAACCAATTGATCGGCTGGATCCGTGGCTCCAAACTTGATTCCACTGACTCCGTCTCTAAAGCAAGTGAGATAAGTCCAATACTTCTCGGGTTTTAACTTATATGTAATCTTATAAACCTTGGAAGCAAAATTCAGTGCCGGCAGTTTGGCTGTAGGGTTTGGAGGCAGGTTGACGAATGTATCCTGAATTTTCTACACATGGATATGAGATGAATTCTGCGATAACAGGTTAAAGAACCAGAAGAGTTATAAGAAGTCTCCTTTTGACATTTTGTTAGACGGACAGAACTAGTGTATATTGTAGGTTTGTTTTCTCACTCGAAGTACCTACCTAGAAGTTCGCCGTTACTTCTTTTATAGCAACTAAATAAGCTGGGGATTCTTGTAAGGTTCTATTTCATCGCAAATACTGAGGTAACATTGCAGATGTCTGGCTTGATTCTTCACCTATCCGTCAATCGCCATGCTTGTGATCCTCGGTGAAATCAAGATATGAAGGCATTTGAGTTTTCAATATACGCCAAACAGCTCATATTATATTGCTATGATACCCAACAAAAAATGTGAGAACCGTAGTAATAACAAACGCTAGACCCGGATTGACGAGACTTATAATCTAGTTTTTCTTTCCGCTGCTCTCCCAGATTCAACTGGGATCCATCTCAAGCTATACCTCCTTCTGCAAGTAGTCTTCACCCTAGATACTATGGTCTTTAGGTGCTTTGCCATCTTGTAACTCTCCATGTTGCGACTCTTCAACCCGTGACTCTCCAGCCTGTGTTTCTCCAGATAACATGCGTTCGGGCTCATTCGTGGGATCAGAGGAGGCTGCGTGTGTTTGATTGTGATCGTTTGAAAGAGCTTCACCAGGACTTGGCTCTTCAGCTTCAATAGTATCAATTTGCCATGCAAACAAAGCCACGCTGTGCCTATAATGTCGGAGCTCGATAGATTTCAAGATAGCGCCCAGTTTTTTACTGTGAGCATGTCAATTGAAGATCAAAGTTGAATAGGTATTGACAAGAATCGACTAAGTTCAGCGTCCAAAGCTTTCAGTAATATTTTAGAGACTTACAGTGATTGTCTAGTCTTCTCATCATATCTAGCAACAGTCCATACTTGATGTTCGCGGTTTTCCTGGAACCAACTGAAGAGATACATGAAGTGGTAATTCAAGAACCCGTTGATCTCCTGATATTTGGTAGCTTCCTTAGGTATCCCCTCGAATTTGGACACTAATCTATCGATAATCGCGTATGTATTTTCCCCGTTTGATTGATTATCGCGTAAGCCAATATGAAGAGCGATAAGTGCGCTTACAAACCCCCCACTGTTGAAATTGTGAAGCGTTCTCTGGGGAACCTTATGGATAGTAATGTTGTAATCATCTGTGACGAAACATTTTTCTCCTAGACTGGTGCATCTCTCGCAGTCATCGATGTAATTGTCTAGATTACACTGAATGTTTAATTTTCGACAAGGATCGCAAGCTGTTGGCTTCACTTTAGGAGACTCGACGGACATAATGGCTTGGAAATCTTCTATTTCGAGGACTTGTAATTCTAATGATAATTTAGTGAAATGTAGCAATGATATTTTATTGAAATTTGATGCAGAATAAGTGATTGTCAGAAAGATGACATGAATCTTGTCGTGGTTCTCACAATGAGGAAACTAGGTATGACTAGGTACCAAAACCACACGCTATTGGGGAAGCGGCTTTCAAGACGAGAAGGAAGTAACAACTAACTAATGATTCAAAACTACTTCCTCTGTAAAACAGATAAGAACCTGCCATTCTCTAGCGATACAGACGAAAATGCTCGAACATCTTCGTCAATCATTAAATGGTTCGAAGAAAATACGTTGTAGCTAACACGTAGCTGTGCGTTCACTTCTCCGCCATACCCATCAACGTCTTCACGAAAGGCTCTCTTGGAAATAAATGATATGCTGATTATCATCTGCTCTCTAAGCACATGTTTCTTTCAAACCATTTTCGAGTTGTTGTATCCCACCCGTAGCTATGATCCGATTCGGCAACAACAAAATTTTCTCACCACCTCTACGTTCCTCTCCATACACAAGAAAGCAGCTCAATAGATCAACCTTGAAACTTAAAAAAAAATAACGGATAAATCCAAAAATCAACCAATAAATCTACTCGTGGAAGAAAGCGTGCACGCGTGTGGAAAGGCAGTATTCGCGTCTAAGCGCTTGTCATTTGAAGTTGATAAACGCTTGTACACGACCTTGTCTTTTCGACTAGGTGCAAGAAATTCATCACCTACACCTGGCTGGGTCGAAACACATAGTAGGAAATAATCTCCACTACACCACCTCTTCATCCACACAGTCAAACTCCCACATTCGCTCGATCACAAAGTTGTCATGAGCAAGATAGTCTCATCTCTTACTAAAAAAAAAGGAAACTAAATACATATTCAAGTACCACCCTGAATTCCCCGACTAACTGGAGAAGAGAAATGGATTATAGTATACACCTCATCAATTAATCTGATAAGATACACAATCCAACATCATATCCACTTGTAAAGGGGGAAGAAAGCTAAGTGTGTACATGGAAAGTAATGCTACTATGCATGTATCCAATCCCAGGATAAATTTATATATCCGCGTAATTCTAAACACCCCCCATAGTTTTTTGACAGGAACAGTAACAGTGACATTATTAACAACTATCCAATTCTACACCTCAGAAATTCATTTTGGGTATTCAGTATGATATGATATGATATGATATGATATGATATGATGCATCATCCCACACAGTATGCAAGGTGAGATATACATTTTCTTCACCCAGAACAAAGCTAGCGAAAACAGTATTGAAATGCTTCGTATTATTTGGAATCTGATCTACTTACGAGATCCATCAATTCAATTCATTTGCTTCCTACCTCAAAATCCCAATATGCACCACAAAGCCCGAGTCTTCTCCTAACCCACACTCTTGAATACCTCCCTCCTGTACACGCCACACTCTGAAGAATTTGTTGAATTCCTTAAGCCAGGATTCAAAGACATCCGGAGAACGGAGCTGTTGAGCGATGACGCAGAGAGTGGGAGTACTGGTTTCTGTTTGATCTTGATCTTTTGCAGATGAAGATGTGGAACGGAGACGACAGAGATCGACACATGTTTGGACGAAAGGTGGGATTAATGCGTCGTTGTAGATACAATCACACGCAATGATTGTATCGAAGCTGGTGGTGGTTTCTGAGCAGGTGAGAGAGGGGGAGACGACGTCGGTTTCCCAGTCGAGGGTTAGAGGAATGATTTTGTTGGTTGAGGTTTGTTGGGTTGTTGATGTAGATGTGGATGTTGACGATGAGGTTTTGGATTTTCGGGACTTGGATTTGGAGTTTGTTGTACTTGGTGATGATGAAAAGTTGGAAGAAAGATTTTGAGAGAGAAATTTGAGAACATATGGTTGGTCTGTGAGGATGTATGTTTGGAGAAGGGGTGATAGAGTAAGGGCGATTAGACCGGATATCCCACAACCCAATTCAAGGACTACTGAATCAGGGGTGATTATCTGATGCTGGAGGAGTGGATTTGTAGATGAGGATATCCATTTTGCGAAAAGGGGGGTGATTTTCCATATTACTGTGCTGAGCATTAGGAAGTAATTAATTGTAGTGATAGAAGGGTTGATTACCTGCTCCAGTAGTTCCCCCATCACGATTTGATGATAAGATTGTAGGTGATTGATAAATTGTGAGATCTCTACCATTAATCGTAAAATCTATTTCAGTTGCCTTTGAATCTACGAATCCGAGATTCTGGGATGGGATGGTTTGAGAGAACAACAGAAACGCCTCTAGAATTAATTATTTTAGCTTCTTAACCTGGCCAAAATTCAGGGTCTCAGACATGTCCTATGAGCCTGCATGAATCCTTTGATACTCTTGGAAAGATTATACGAAGTTGTGCTCATAAACTCAAATTTGACCACACCGAAACGTCTCAACGACCACTTCGATTAATCATAAAAGCAGCCAAATGTTAACCCCCTTTTCGGTAAGCATCTCGCGCCACAATAAACAGCTGTGTTACCAAGGCTCTCACACTGCCTCGTTCCAAGCAATTGGAAAATCACTTGACTGTATTGAAACTCTGAAAAAGTGAAATAGATGTGTAATGAAATCGTTTGTTTACCTTCTTCGGGATCCTCCACTTCTGGGCCAAGAGAATCAAGAAATGGTTGTACGCGGCCAGCCATGATTGAAAGTTGTAGTTGGCTGGTGAAACCTTATGAATCTACCTGGGTAACCCTTTGGTCTATTGGAGAAACAGGGCTTGATGTTGAGATGTTTTACTGCCTATCAGATTCGGTTGTGTGAGACTATCGAAAGTGTAACAGCTGGCATATCAGACATACAATAGTAGTATGTACTCGAGTAGAAAAAAGTTCTTCCCTTTTTGCCGTATTGACCCACCTATGTGAATCGTATGTGAATGATGCTTACCTGTACAGGCAATCAAGCACGAGCGGTCAGAAGCTTGAGGAAATGTAGAGAGGAGATGTAGAGCGTAGGTAGGTAGATAATGATAATTGTTGAACGAGATGTGAGGTTTGACATTTCCTTTCTTATCTCAACATATTTGCCTGAGTAAACAATCAAAGTTCTGACATGTAAATGATCCTTGGATGGTGAATAGATCGATAGTGGATAGATAGAAGCAATGACCAAACAACATGCTATGATGAGCTCCAACATCGCCAATGTCAGCAGCATCCAGGTCCTGTAGGTAAGATAGATAGATGTAAGTAAGATGTAACTACATGTAAGATGTTTAAAAGCACAAGCAGATAGATATCCAGGTAAACCCTCCGTACGTCGGTATAGCTTTCCTAACAGGGGTTTCTAGACAGCGTCAAAATGGTTGAAGCTTATATTACCTAGATATGCTGAATACTCAATGCTCAATGCTCAATGCTCTAGACTCTATGCCCAGTTCCATACTCAATCAATGCTCGATGAATGGATGGACGAGAGAGAAAGTGGCAGCTTTGAAATAATGTTGACCTGGCTTGGTTATTATGGTGGACCTTTTTTTGTTTTGGTGAGTAACCGTGCATTTACTAGACGGGATCTTGGTTGTTCCAAAATAAAAGAAAGCAAGGCAAGGCAGCGTCATAATCTATCTACCTGGCTATTATTAAGGCGATTTATTATTTCTTCCCTTTTCCCCAGCCTCAATTGCTTCCCCGAAATCCCGAACATATCTCAGCCATTTCCTGAAGTTGAATTGAATTGAAAAGAATCATATCTCCTCATTGAAAATACAGTACGGATTGCAGATACCTACACGAATTTAAGAGCATTCGCGTATCTCTCCCGTCTGCTAAATACATAACACGAAGTCAAATCGACAAAGACCAGAGCTTGCGCATCACCAACTTCCTCTCTCCATCAAATACATCAACTCCCAACAACTGAGCTTCATCGCCACCCGATCAAAATGTCGTCCTCAGGGTCGCTCAAGAACATTTCTGTTCAACCTAAATTCTATCACTCACCACCTTTCAGTGCAGAGGTGCCGGGCCACAAAGCCGTAACCGGTGAGACTATCCCAAGAAGACACCCTTCGACAGCCAACAAGCTCGCGACCCGCCCTTCCGAAGATGTTTCAACTGTTTTCGATATAATTAAACGAAGTTCCGAGAAGTATGGAAATGCGAAAGCTGTCGGAAGTCGATCATTGATCAAGACTCATCAAGAGGTGAAGAAGGTGAAGAAGATGATTGATGGCGAACAACAAGAAGTCGATAAGAAATGGACATATTTCGAACTCAGCGAATACAAATATATGAGCTTCTCAGAATATGAGAAGTTAATCTTACAGATTGGAGCTGGTTACAGAAAGCTTGGATTGAACAAAGAGGATCGAGTACACATTTTCGCGGCAACGAGTGCTCATTGGTTAGCAACTGCTCATGGGGCAGTTTCTCAATCGATGCCAATTGTTACCGCATATGATACTTTGGGAGAGGAAGGTCTCAAGCATTCCTTGGTTGCGACCAGAGCCAAAGCTATCTTTTTGGATCCTCATCTATTACCAACCTTGATCAACCCTCTCAAAGAAGCCAAAGATATCCAATTTGTAATCTGGAACAGTCAGAATGAGGTGAAGCAAGAAAATATCGATAGCCTCAAGAAGGCGCACGAGAAGCTCAAGATTTTGAGTTTCGAGGAATTACGAAAGCTTGGCGAGGAGAACCCTGTTGAACCAGTACCTCCCGCACCAGAAGATCTGTGCTGCATCATGTATACTTCCGGTTCTACCGGGCCACCAAAGGGTGTACCCATTAAGCACAAGGCAGTCGTAGCAGCTGGTGAGTGAAATCTATTGCCTGTGAAATGTATACGTTGTACTGACTAGCGCTTGCGCTTACTATAGTTGCTGGTGTCAATGTTATTGTTGAACCATATCTTGGTCCAGGTGACGGTCTTCTGACATACCTTCCTCTTGCGCATATTCTCGAGTTCGTTTTCGAAAATGCTTGTCTGTATTGGGGTGGAACTATGGGATACGGAAACCCCAAAACTTTGTCGGATACATCAGTCAAAAATTGCAAGGGAGACATTCGAGAATTTCAGCCAACAGTTTTAGTTGGTGTTCCCGCCGTGTGGGAGTCAGTCAAGAAGGGTATCGTTGCTAAGGTTAATGGTGGAAGTCCGATCGTCAAAAACCTCTTCTGGGGTGCACTTTGGGCTAAGAACAACCTCTTACGTTATGGTCTCCCAGGTGCTGAGGCTTTAGATGCACTAGTATTCAAAAAGGTTAAGGAAGCCACTGGTGGAAAGCTCAGAATTTGTCTGAATGGTGGTGGACCAATTTCCAAAGATACTCAGAGATTTATTTCTATGGCCATCACACCGATGATTAACGGATATGGTTTGACTGAAACTACTGCTATGGGTGCTTTGATGGATCCTATGGAATGGACAGATGAAGCACTGGGTGATATTCCTGGTTCCATTGAGATCAAGCTTGTTGATTTCCCAGATGCTGGATATTATGCAACCAATAAACCAAACCCTCAAGGAGAAATTTGGATTAGAGGAGATCCCGTCATGGAAGGTTACTACGAGAATCCTGAGGAAACAGCAGAAGCTCTGACCGCGGATGGATGGTTCAAGACTGGTGACATTGGAGAATGGGATAAGAATGGTCATCTTAACATCATCGACCGAAAGAAGAATTTGGTCAAAACTCAAAACGGAGAATATATCGCCCTTGAGAAGCTCGAATCTATCTACCGTTCTGCTACAGTTGTAGGTAATATCTGCGTTTATGCCGATCAACAGAGAACCAAGCCAATTGCTTTGATTGTTCCAGCTGAACCTGCATTGAAGAAACTCGCCGAAAGAATTGGTGTTCCAGGATCCAGTGTGGAGGAATTAGTACACGAGAAGAAGATTCAAGATGCAGTTTTGAAGGAATTGCAACAAGCTGGTAAGGCTGGTGGATTGTCAGGAATCGAAATCATCGAAGGTGTTGTCTTGTCAGATGAAGAATGGACTCCTCAAAATGTCAGTATTTCCCTCCTTTTTACAATACGGTGCATGCTAACATTAATAGGGATTGGTAACATCTGCACAAAAATTGCAGCGAAAGGCCATTTTGGAGAAGTACAAGAAGGAGGTTGAGTCTGCATATTCTAGGAACAACTAATTGCTTTTAACAACAACTTGGTAATGGTTTACGAAGAATACGTAGGTCATGAAGATTTTGTGGTTTCGGTGCGGTTTGTTCTGGGTGGTTCGGATTTGTATGATAGTCTGGCAGTATTGGTAGTATAGGCAGGCTTTGCTTATTTTTAGTTTAGATTTCTTATGAAAGTAACTTATTTAATTATACCCAATTTGCTGATCACTTTGATACGTGTTTATTTCTTTCCCATGATGTGAGACAAAGAATAGCTTTGGAAGTAGAGTGGGTGGGTACTACAATGCACTTGAATCCTAAAGGTCACGGGATCACCTATCATGGAAGTCGCGACTCGCGTTCAACCTCATTTCCTGAACGGAAATCGCGACTCCAACAACCTTTTTCACCATCTAAACTGCCGTTTCCAACAACCCCAACGTCAATTGATCGATCTAAAGAAGATCCCAGTCGATTTATTTACGGCGTGCGAGATTCTGCTCTTCATCAAATCAATCATTACACTAAATTGATGGAAGGAATTGATTTGCGACCGTATATAATCTTTCTGTTCACAAGTTACACATTTTTAATCTCACAATTTTAACATTTTACATCGCCTACCCCAAACACATCAACTTCGCACATGCCATTAAACTTTCCTTTTAACAATTTCCTTAATAACGTCTATAACATGGCTGGCAATCCTCGCCTTAGCGGCTTCCTTCAGCAAGAATCTAATCCGCCTCACCCACCATCACCATCCCCTCAACCACTCCAACAACGTACAGATCGTCAAGCGATGGCACAGAAGTTGAGAGTACTTCCCAAGAAGCAACGAGATGCGTCTGCCAATAGGAATCGAGCTCACAATCAGGAGCCCGTCCACGAACAGCCGGCTGAATTTTCGCAAAGAAATACAGTCCCTGGAATAAATCAAGTGCAGGCAGAATACAGCCCAGAGGAAGAGCAAGAAAATGCCGAACATTTCGAGGACTCTACAGTAAACAGCGCCTTTGATGAAACTATCAGCCAGGGAAACTTTCGAGGCGGACAAGACATGGGAGTAATGCCTACTGGCGGCAATCGTGAATTTGATGGCGGATATTACAGAGGGCAGCATGAGGAGCTGGAACAAAACAATTTCCACGGTGCACATCAGAATGATTACGATAGAGACTCACCAGAGGAGTCTATATTCGGTCAAGACTACATCGAAGATGCACGAGCACCCCTTCAATCGCGTAAGGGTTTTCACCAACCTAATGGTCAAGGACCACAGACGCAACCTCTTGGAGCCCCCATTTATAAGCAAAGCCAGACCCCCAAACCTGCCATTCAGTCAGAAATACTACTACAACCCCAAAAGCCGCAGCATAATAGCCCGAGCAAACCAAGGACATTTGATCGTTTCAATCACGCTATTACAAATCGTCCTAAGAATGGAGTGCAAACAATTGGAGGTTCTCGAAAACGAGGTCTTGACGAAGGAGTATTTTCTCCAAAGCCCAAATCTGGAAAATCTCAAGTTGAAGTACTAGAAAATGCTGTACTTCCCGGAAATATGCAATATCGTCTTCCACCGCTATCTCCTCAGGATACGCAGCAAGGTCAATCTGAGGGATCTTCTGAAGGCGAGCGATACTCTGAAGATAGCACTCACATGGATGAACAGCCAGCTCTTCAATCTCGACCAAATTTTCATGCAGGGAACTCGCAGCATCAGATTACTCATTTGAACCGTGCTGATATCCCACTTGATTATGATGATGCCGCTTTGAAAAATATGGATTATGAACAACTAAAAGATGAATCTTTTGAAGGTCCTTCAGCTCTTAGCGAGCAGCCCAGCGAACCAGATCTGTCACTTTCAGATCGTCCTATCAATGAACGTGTCAGTCATCATGTTGAACAACCTCGACCAAGCAATCAAGAAGAGATGGACAAGCAGCGAGCCACTATGGTCGAATTCTTTGGTAGTTTATCTAAAGATGATTGGGAAGAAGCAGGTGATTGGTTTTTATCAAGGTTTTCTGATACTTTACAAGCATTGAAGAAAGCTAGGCAAGAAAAGAGAGCTATGGTTGCAAAGTTCGAGGAGGAGATTGAGAAGAGAGAAAGAGATGTTAGGGGATGTTTGAGGACTTACAATCAAGATATGGAACGTATGAAGAGGGGTGCTAAGGGAGTTATTGAGGGAAACAATGTATAAATGAATGGGCTTGATATAATGGCTAGTTGTTCTGCTAGCGGAGTGTGGAGGAATTCCGGTGTGTATGCCGCATACATTATCTGGAAGTCCCAAGTGCCTATAAGCAATGCATTGAGCTCATGTATAGCTATCAGGTTATCTTAAAATGTAAAGTAATATTTGGCTGTATACAAAGGCGCTGGATCTTGGGTCTGGGAATGAAATGGAAAGGAAGGGAAAGGAAAGGAAAGGAAAGGAACGACAAGATGAGTCTTGTGCTTTGCTTTCATTTCATAGGGAGTTCTATGCTAGCTATTATGAGATACCCATTTGCTTGTTTTTATTAATGGAAATGACATATACTATGTGTTACAATTTCTATGTGCTCGCTGAAATGACCTTGACGGGCAATGCTCAATTGTGATTGGAATCTAAATCGTTTAAAGACTACCTAATGCCTTGGTCAAACGAGTGTATCGAAGATGAACCCTTCAGGTCGGGAGACCTGATGATGTCACCAGTATTAGCTTTGAATTAGAGGTTTGGAGATACTGATATACTTGATAAACTTGACCTTGATATCTTATTTTTTCAGACGATAGTCTTTTGATCCTCCTCGTGGACTTGTATCAATTTTCGATTTTAATCTTTTGAGGACCTCTTATAGGTATTCAGGTGGGCGAATTATAATTTCACAGGAATCTATCTATATCTACGAGTCACGCAGCCCCTCAACGCCTACCTATGTCAATCTCACAATCACATTATCAACAACTCAAACCTTTTCCACCTGCACCACTCGTCTATCTCTCCCAACCACCAATCGCAACTGTCTCCCTTCCCAATCCTCGCCCAGTTTCCCGCCTCGAAATATCCCCCGTCGCACACCGTCGAGATATAATTCATAAGCGGGATAATACCCATCGACGAAGATTTTTACCTGCTCATCACTCATTCCTGTACCTTTTTCGCGGCGCAAGGCGCGTTCTTGTTCTTGTCGCCACGCGTACACGTATTGGGTGTCGAGTGCGTCGATGTGGATGAAGATATCGAAGGTGTCGGTTATGATGTCGTAGTCTTTTAATTTTTGGTTGATGAATAATAGGGAGGAGAGGGGGTGATCGCGTAGGGTGGTGGGGTTTTCAGGGGAGGGAGGCAGAGAGAGACTGTTTTTGTGGAGGAGCGAGATGCTGGTTGGAGGGAGGGAGCGGAACCCGACGCACCAGCCTTCGAAGAGGATTATTTGGATGGGTCGTTGGTTTTGGGATGCGTCGTTCACGGTGCGGGTGGATGGGGAGCGGTCTCCCAGTCCGGAGTGAAGGGATTTGTCGTAGGAGGGGATGTGGGTGCGGGTCGGAGGGGATTGGAGGAGAGAGCTGAAGAGGGTGCGGGCGAGGGGGATGTCGTGGGTTCCTGGCGGGTGGGGAGTGGTTAGCTGGATGGTTTGGGTTGTGGGTGTGTGGTTGGGGGATTGAGAATTGGGAATCGGGAGAGGGGAGATGATAAAGGAGATATAGTAGAGTGAATGGAAGATATAGAGTAAATTGCATATAACAGAAGAACAAATAAGTAAATACCAGGTTCCCCTCTAAACTGCACCAGTTTATTCCCCTTATTTTCCCTCGCCAACTTCTCCTGATCCGCGCGCGTCAAGTACAAATCATCGATACTCAATACCAGAGTCTCGAGCCCATGATCGCGAGTGAGGATCTCGTAGAGAGTATTCACGAGGGTGGTTTTTCCGGCGCCTTGGATTCCGTTTAGACCGATGATGAAGGGACGTGTGGGATGCGTTTTTTGGTGGAGAGTTAGATAGTGCAGAATGAAGGGGAGGATGTGAGGGGTTTTGTCGTCGATTATGGGAGGAGTGGGAAGGGTATTGGAGGTGGGGGAGGAGGACGAGGTCATGGTAAGTGTGTGTGTGTGTGGTTGTGGACGGAGGGGGGAATCATTGAGGATGGGATGGTTTGAGGGGATCATTGTGGTTCGAGTAATACTACGTAATATTGCGTGGGGTGTAAGGTTACTGGTGTAGTGTGGGGAAGATAACATGTGAAAAACGACTTTTAACTTTCTGAACTCAATACAATCAAGAAATCAAAAATAGAAACAAAAGATCTGCTCTAACATATACTCGTGTATTGCCAGAACTAAAGCTGCAGAGAGTGTTACAAAAAATATTATTATTGTATCAACTATGATTACTTTTGATATCATATAATGATCATATAATGATCATATAACTAAACGAAACGGATCTCCAGAAAGTCTACACTCTTCTTCACAAAATACATGAGATGAAAACTTGATAAGAACAGCAACCTGATGATTAGATTCTAAAATGATCCTGGGATCAAAAACAATAGTTGGAAGATGTTCGTAATCATCTTCTGAGTAATATATAATTAAAAAATATCTCAAAATTATGAACATTGAATCTTAAAGCTTGTGATTCATATACTTTCGAAGATGATGAATTGCTACCAGTCATATATATCATGATTCGATTCGTAGTATAAAGTTTTCCATGATATTCTTCTTCAGAAAGAAGGGTCTAATATAATCATCAATGAATGGCCAATGGGTACTCTAATTTCATTCTTCAAACTCAGAATTGTTGATCTACTGATCCTTCCTGTTTCATTTCTCATGGACGTGTACCTAGTATTGTAATAACATTTTTCACTCGAGTAATTAAAAACAAGAAGATAACTTCCAATGAGGTTTTGCACGTAAAAAGCAAAAAACAAAATACTCATTATCACACCATGTGTAGTCGTTGTTGTTGGACACTCTATAAATTCAAAGTTGTGAATATAGAGCTTCAAGTATAAGTATGTATAGTGTACTGATTCTTCGGATTGCCAATGATCAGGAGAAATTTCACTATCTCAAAAGGCAAGATAGTGAAATTCTTTGTGGTCGTTAATAGCTGATACATTTTCAAGGAGGACTAGAAAGTGAGTATACTTAGGCGAGTCAAGATAAACGAGAAGTTAGTACATGATGAGAGCAGGAGAAGGGAAAGTCAGTACGCACTTAAAGGAAGTAGAGAAATGAAAAGTAAGTCCGCTAAAAGGGAATGGGAGAAAGAAAAGTTAGTACACCCTGAAGATAACTCGATCAAGCTCCATCATCACCTTTTGCTACCCTGTGAAGCTATGTAGTTCCCATCCTGTGTGCCGCTCTTTTGAAAAGATCAATGATATAATAATAATATTTGTGATACAAAAGTCACGCCTCCACCCCTTCATATGAAAAATGACGTCCCTATCTTCATTCCCTCTGTAAAGGACGATATTGAGTGCACTCGTTGTCGGTAAATCGAACTCCCATCTACCAAACAGATCTCAACTATCGATGAGTACAAATATTGTCTGCGAAGAGGGGTTTCAGTGCTCCAATTAACGTTCCGCAAACTTTAGTCTTTGAGCAAAGAATGCTCGTAATCTCTCGACCTCTTTCTTTCCCTCCTCTGTTTCCAATATAAAATCCATGATCTCTGTATCAATGACCATAGATTTAACCATCGCACTATGTGACCTTCGACTTAAACTTTGTACTTCTTGAATACCACTCCCTTTCTCGGCTATTTGTCGTTTCAAGTCTCGTCTAATAATTCGTTCATCATAGTTCGGCTCCGCGACACTTCCAGGACAGCGTCTCAACCTCTCGACAAAGGCTGCTAGTGCCCACTATCATTGCACTCTTGTTGTTACATCATTAGTGGAAATACGTGCTGTCTTGTTTGAGATGTCCGTCGGTCTGGCCGTATCGATTTGTTTGTCGGTGAGGGTGGAGGGTACGATTCTACCTTTAAAATCCTACCATGAATTTGAGGAAATAACAGAATCCCCTCGGAACGCAAATTACTCTCAAGCCGAATGTACACCTCCTCTCAGTAGTAGTGAGGTCTTCTGCTTTGTCGGTTTCTTTCCTCTTACTGTCCATTGCGGTCTCATTTGAAGCAAGCCAGATACTTGCATTTATGTTTCACCATTAGAACTCAGTTTCGCAGCTCTCTTAGCGCTTTCTCATAACTTCAAATACAGTAAGTATCATAGGGTAGAACAATAAAATAAGACATCTTTACGTTTGGTAAGTGAAAGAATGGTTGCAACTGAGAGACAAAAACATTATGCTAGATAAAAATTGTGATTCGAGATTGAAAATTTGAAATCCAAGAAGAGGGCAAGAGAATGATCAAAATTGCATTCAATCCGTATATTTATTTTAAAATGCTTTCAATTCTTGAAAATCTCCGCGCCCTGCTTGACTATCCTCTCAGAAATAACTCGCGGTTTCAATCAGAAACACTCGCTATTTCCCGTTTGAATCGAAATGATGTTATTGCACATTTAACAGGTGGTATTTATACTAGTTCTGGGTGCAGAAGACATGCACAGAAAACGGAACGGACGTGAAATTCTAATCGATTGTTTGATCAAGGAATGGCTTCTTCAGTATTTCGGCGGAGAAAACGAAAAAATTCTTGAATCACCAGCCCGCATCGACATCCAGTATCATTTTTTCGACTTTAAATCGGCAATCAGCTCTTAATATTCTAATTCCAAGTAGATACTAAACAATCATTGTTTCGGCTCCAAGGAGACAACCAGTCCTTACTTACTGGAAACATTGCCTACTATGATTAAACCTTCCGAACTCAACAAAACCATTAGATCAGAGAAAGGAATCAAAGATCTGCTTCGGCATATTGCCAGAAGTCTAGGCCAGGTTCTAGAGCCCGTTGAAAATCAAGGTAGTACTTGAAATACAGAGAGCTTCACAGGAAATACTGTGGGCACATCAATTGCAGTTGCTTTGGCACCTGTGACTCCGTTCGATAACAACCAAATGGCCTAATCAAAGGAATTTTTTAACAATTATGCAGATAAAGCACCAAATTTGAAGGAAGCATGTCGACAACTTGACATTGAGAATAGCAATGCACCATGAATGGGGGATCCTAGGTCAAACACAACTCTGAAATTCTGGCTACCTTCTGGTATATCTTGGATGGTTACCAAAACGTCCGAAATAGGAGGATATATTCTTGGAGAAGTTATGGGTCTCGGAAAGACTTTACAGGCATGCAGCGCCATTTGTCAAATGAATAGTGAGGGGAAGGTAGGCAATGGTACTGCTGGACAACCAAAGCTTAGCCTGATAATTGGTCCAATTGCAGTTTTAAATGTTTGGAAAATTTGTGGAAAACTTTTCGTCCAAGAAATATCAAGTGCAACTGTACTTGCCGGCTATTAGAAAACTCTGCCGACCACCCACCTACGGGTGGTTGGCCATATTATGAATAGCCGACAAGTACCATGCGGGAGAGAAAACTCCTATCTTGAGCAAGGAAAGTCTCAAGAGCTTGAAATACTCCTAGTATCATATTTTGTTACCAACTTCGAATCGTTGAGAGAAAAGCATAAAGGTCTGAACAAACCCAGTCTTCAAGAAATGTTCGATACCGTTATCATCGATGAGGCGCACACTATCAAGGATGAGAGTACTGGAAAAAGTATGAGGTGCTCAGCAAATTGGCCCCCACAACTTTATATTGTTGACCGGTACACTCGTAATGAATTGGGATATTGATATTGCGGCCATGCTATCGCTCTTCCGGCTAGATAGCTTATGGGAAGATATGCAACGAGACAGAAAGATGAATCCATTTCACCTCGAGAACGACCACCCTTTCGCCGCGTCAAGGGCGACCAGTTTCGCAGTCCACCGACATCTACTCGTAGACACGCTTCCCGAGAAAGACAGTGTGAAACGAGGAGTGGCTGGGAAGAATCTTTGACATTGTACTGCTTAAGCGGGGTTTCGGTACAACCATGAATGGTCTCCCAAGTCTTTTGACTACTAGGTACCTAGTAACTACTTCTGGTAATTGCTTACTAATAAGGAAAGATTCACCAATTAAAGAAAAGGAGATTAGTTGCAGTGAAGATTTGCATGTGAAAAATAAAAAGATCCATCATCACACCGCGTGCAGCTGCCGATTGCATACCCCAAAAATGTGGAGTCATGGGAACAGTACCGAGAGCTTCAAGCATAAGCGTGTACCGAGAGATCCAGCTGAAACCGAGGATACCAAAGATATCTTCTCCATTTTCAAAATTCTACGGTAAATTGAAGTATCAATCTTCTGAAATATAACTTGCTCCTGAACATTGATAGCTCTATAATCTATATATGAGCCTCTTTTTACTCATCTCATGATATACTTTTGTTTTTATCCCTTAATTTCAAAATGGTAGCGATCCACCCTTCTTGAGCTGCTAACGGTCACATGACTTAACTCCGAGCCTCGGTTCAAAATCCCGTGACTCTCAAGTCAATCACATTCCCGTCAACATCTTCCATTGTGCTTAAACATCAATTGCATTTAACATCCACATTTCCAACTGTCTTCTTCTTCATCTTATTATTCAGTCTTCTCCTCGTTCTTATCAATCTAAAATACCAACTCTTATAATATACAATCGAACAACCAAGGATCACAAATAATATACACATAACCATGTCGGAGCTACGCTATGATGGTCAAGTTGTTGTTGTAACAGGAGCTGGCGGTGGATTGGGAAAAGCATATGCTCTTTTCTTCGGCTCAAGAGGTGCAAGTGTAGTTGTGAATGACCTTGGGGGATCATTCAAGGGCGAGGGTAATTCTACAAAGGTATATAGTCTTTCCAACCATCCAATAGCCATCCTACATTCCTGAACGTAGCTAACATCAGTGTTAGGCCGCAGATGTTGTAGTCAACGAAATCATAGCCGCAGGAGGAAAGGCAGTAGCCAATTACGACAGTGTTACAGAGGGCGAAAAGATTATCGAAACTGCCATTAAAACTTATGGCCGAATTGATGTCTTACTCAACAATGCCGGTATTCTTCGCGATATCTCATTCAAGAACATGCAAGATAAAGATTGGGATTTGATCATCGACGTTCATGTAAAGGGATCATATAAATGCGCGAGAGCAGCATGGCCACATTTCAGAAAACAAAAGTATGGAAGAGTGATTAATACTGCAAGTGCGGCAGGTTTGTTTGGAAGCTTCGGTCAAACGAATTATTCAGCAGCTAAATTGGCTATGGTCGGATTTACGGAAACTTTGGCGAAGGAAGGTGCGAAGTATAACATTCATGCTAATGTTATTGCCCCCATTGGTACGTTTATTATTGTCCCTGAGATTTAAGTTGGTATTTTATCTAATGAATAATAGCTGCTAGTCGTATGACTGAAACTGTCATGCCTCCCGAGATTCTCGATAACTTAAAGCCGGATTGGGTGATTCCTCTCGTGGCTGTTTTAGTACACAAGGACGCTCAAGAGAATGGTTCAATTTTCGAAGTCGGTGGTGGACATATTGCTAAACTTCGATGGGAACGCTCAAGCGGTTTATTGCTCAAGGCAGATGATTCATATACCCCAGGAGCCATCCTGAAAAAATGGGATCAAGTCAGTAACTTTAAGGATGCCGAACATCCTTCTGGTCCTGCGGATTTCATGGGCCTTCTTGAGAAATCAATGAAGATGGGTCCAAATGAGCAAGGGGAGACTCTTGATTTCAAGGGCAAGGTCGCTTTAGTTACTGGTGGAGGTGCTGGGTAAGTTTTCGAAGTTTCATTTTCCAAGAGGTTGAGCTAATTTTGTTAGTATTGGTCGATGCTACTGCTTAGCGTTCGCCAAGTATGGTGCCTCAGTTGTTGTAAATGATTTGATGAACCCAGATGATGTTGTTCAAGAAATCCAAAAGCTTGGTGGAAAAGCTGTCGGTGTCAAGGCATCAGCTGAGGATGGAGATGCCGTCGTTAAAGCCGCAATTGATGCCTTCGGACGTATTGATATCATTATCAACAACGCTGGTATTCTCCGTGACAAAGCTTTCACCAATATGGATGATAAGATGTGGGATCAAGTTATCGCCGTTCATCTCAGAGGTACATACAAAGTTACCAAGGCTGCATGGCCATACTTCTTGAAACAAAAGTATGGTCGTGTAGTAAATACCACATCTACCAGTGGTATTTATGGTAACTTTGGACAATCCAATTATGCTGCTGCTGTAAGTCTAATCTCTTAATTTGAAAGCCATTTGCTGACCCTAAAAAAGAAATGTGGTATTCTCGGTTTCTCTCGCGCCCTCGCTCGTGAAGGTGCCAAATACAATATCTACGTTAACACAATTGCACCAAATGCTGGTACCGCAATGACCAGAACCATCATGCCAGAAGAAATGGTTCAAGCATTCAAACCAGACTACATAGCGCCACTAGTTGTCGCACTCTGCAGCGATAAAGTTCCAAAACCACCTACTGGAGGTCTTTTCGAAGTTGGCAGTGGATGGGTTGGACGAACAAGATGGCAACGAACTGGTGGACATGGTTTCCCAGTTGATGTCAAGCTTACCCCTGAAGAAGTCTTGAAGAACTGGGAGAAAATCATTAACTTTGATGATGGACGATCGGATAACCCCGAGGATAGTCAAGATGGTTTGAAGAGTATTATGGCAAACATGCAAAATAAGAAGGGTGCGAGCAAGGTATGAACCTTCTCCGCATGTTTAGAATGAGCATTATGTATATTATAGTCAATCAATAAAGATATTTGTTAACATATCCTTCTGTTACAGAAAACCGAGAAAAAGGTTGAAGTGAATCAAGAAATCCTTGATAAAATTGCCGCAGCCAAGAAAGCCGAAGCAAGTGGAAGTGAGTTTACTTTCGAGGAACGGGATGTAATGCTATACAACCTTGGAGTCGGTGCGAAGAAATCTGAATTGTCTCTTGTTTTGTAAGCTTCCATATTCTTTCATTTTGAATTTCGACTAATTGAGGTCTAGCGAGGGAGATGAAAATTTCCAACCTCTCCCGACTTTCGGTGTCATCCCACCATTCAATGCTGAAGCCCCTTTTTCTTTTGACGATATTGTACCCAATTTCTCCCCTATGATGCTTCTTCACGGCGAACAATATCTCGAAATTGCTTCCTACCCCATTCCTACCTCTGGTACCCTCATTTCATCACCAAAACTTCTCGAGGTAGTCGATAAAGGAAATGCTGCCGTTGTCAAAGTAGGAACCACCACGACAGAAAAAGAAACTGGAAAGAAAGTATTCTATAACGAACAAACGGTTTTCTTGCGAGGCAGTGGAGGATTTGGAGGTGAGAGAAAAGGAGCGGATAGAGGAAATAGTACAAGGGCGAACAAAGTCCCCGAAAGAAGTCCTGATGTGGTGGTCGAGGAAAAAACGACGGAGGAACAGGCTGTGATTTATAGATTGAGTGGTGATGTGAGTTTTTGATTGCTAGATAAGAGGACAATTGCTAATTGGAATAGTATAATCCTCTTCATGTTGATCCGGCTTTCGCAGCGGTGGGAGGTTTCAAGGCGCCTATTCTTCATGGTCTTTGCTTTATGGGGATTGCGGGGAAAGCGGTTTATCAAAAGTATGTATTTCTGTTTCCTGTTTATTTCTCCTCCTTTCATTTCATCTATCTCCCTTGCTATCAGCTCGCCCTCGTTTTCCCCCTACTCATATATCCTTCCTTTCCTTGCTAATTTAGTTCCGAATAGATTCGGTCCCTACAAAAACATCAAAGTTCGCTTCGCGGGCACGGTCATCCCTGGTCAAACATTGATCACGGAGATGTGGAAAGAGGGCGGTAATAGAGTTGTTTTTCAAACCAAGGTTAAGGAGACGGGGAAGTTGTGTATTGGTGGTGCGGGGGTAGAGTTGGTAGGTGAAGGGAAGGAGAAATTGTAGAGGTGGCGGGATAGAGGGGTGGTAATGGGTTCTAGGATTTGGTTTAGGGATTTCGGGATTTTGAAGAATTGCGCGACTGGGATTTTGGGGTTGGTTTTTGTTTTATTATTTGATTTGGATTTATGTTGAATCAGTATACCTATTATGTATATATCATGAGTAAAATGAGAAGTGATGTGAATGAGTCAGTCAGTGAACATCAATCATCCTGGGCCGTAATGATACAGAAAGTATGCATGATGTGGACAGTTGATGTATTCATAATTATACATTGATATTGAAGAGCTTGAGAAGTTAAGATGATTAGAATGAAGATTTGAGAATGGTGGACTTTGTTTTGATATTTTGGGGAGAGGAGGAGGGTGATTTTTTTTGGGGTGGATGGATGGATAAATGAACCAATGAATGAATGAATGAATGAATGAATGGATAAATGAGGGGTGGGACATTTGGGAAGGTTGTGAGAGTGGGGGTGAGAGTGGGAGTGAGGTAGCGAGGGATAAAGTACAAACAGGAAGACAATAAGATACTGTTATGATGAAATAGAGAATTCATAGAGCAACATGATAATAAGAACTTGAATAAATCAAGAGGTAAGGGAGTGAAAGAGTTGAAGAGTAAAAAGGTTGGGTGGGAGAGGGGCAAAGTGATTTTGTGAGAGTAGGTAGTGCAGGTGAGGTTAGATGTTGAAGATGTTGAAGATGTGGAAGATGTTGAAGATGTTGAAGGTAAATAGATGGAGTGAAAATGATTTGTCAAATGGTAAATTATTTGTCGAATTCTTTCGTTGATTTTATAGGAGGCTGCGAGTGTGATGAGAGTAGGGGGTATGGATCGACGGAATGGGAAGGAGTGCGAGGAAAGGAGAGGGAAATTTGGGGCGAGGAAGAGCTTGTTGTGTATACCTAGGTAGGTATGTGAAGTAGTTTGAGATCTTTTGGGTGTCTTTGGGTTGTTTTTGCTTTGTGGAGGAGTTTGGAGATGCAAAGGAAGAGTGATGGAAGATGTATTTGAGATTGTTCGTGATTGATTGAGATTTCTTGATTGAGATTTCTTGATTGAGATTTCTTGATTGAGATTTCTTGATGAACTGTCGTGATATAGATATGAATTTTGAGATGTATATTGTGAGACGGGAGATGTGTGATGTGAAGGGGAAATCGCATGAGAGATGAAATTGAGGTTTGAGGCCTTGAGGCTTGTAAAGAAAGTAGGTATGTATAATGTGATAGATTCTTGAAGGACGGAAATAGTTGGAAGGAAGTTTTCGTATGGTTTTTGGGGTTGGATTGTTGTTTGACTGCTGGAAGAAAGGAAGGAGAAAAGATGAAGATAACATCGTATTTTTGGATGTGCATGCGCATGTGCTAGTTGATGGGTGATTGGAATACGTGTATGTGAGTTGGCAGGTTGGATTGAGAGGATGTATTCGAAAATCCTATACTTGGGGTGCATAAAAAATATTTGAAGAGCTCATCAACTAATGAAATCTCTCATCATCTTTTCTTCCCATTCCCCTTCCACTTCTCACCTTCCCTCTTCCTAGCGCAAACCACCCGCGCATTAGCTTCCCTCAGCAACTGAGCTAAGTTGTCATATGTTGTTATTCCAGCCGTCTATTGAGGCTGTACCAACACGGTATCCTGAAGACAGTGAGAAGGTCTGATCGAACTGAGAACAGAATCGTCCTTATCTCTGTGGGTAATCCAGAACGGGCCCGGCGAGGCCGACTATGTTCCCTTGTATATTTTAAATAAGGATGGTGACGAAAACGTTCAATCTGGACCTAGAAATTACGGAGATATTTGGAATGACTCTCGTTGCATGCGATCCATGTGCTTATCGTATCTGTCAGTCCTTTGAACCGTACATGTTTTACAAATAGACGCAAAAGGAAAGAACTGTGGATAGATTGAAATAATAATTATGAGATGCAAAGTAACTTGGCTCGCATGATGCAAGACAAGCTCCAAATCAATGTGATTATGCATGACAGGATTAATGCAGTAGCATCTGAGTGTGATGCGAAGTTCGATTATTGAAGCCCGGGCGCTTGCCTGCATGCACTTGAGTTTCTTTCTCTAGGATCGTTGACCTATGTCTTTGAGACATGACACTAGCCGGTTTGGAGGTTCTGGAATCCCCAGCTTCATGATAGTAACTGAAGAGAAAAATGGATAAATCATTGGATACAAACATCCGGATATCGGCCAACTCATGAGGCTGAAGCTATTTCAAGAATTTAAGTGGAGTGATAGAGGCTGTATCTGGCGGTGAGAGATTATTCGAAATCAAGGGGAGATGCGTTATATCGAAGTCCGTGATAATTGAGATTCGACTTCTAGAAGGCGTCATAATGTACATCAATTCTAGCAGCCACCAACAATAATGTTTCCAATCCCAGGTACCCAAGAAACGGGTTGATGGAGTACGTTGCGTTGATACGTCTTGATAGAGACAACACTGATTAGAGAGATGCTGTAGGTGCCAATCAGAATACTGCATCTTCACCGTTTCTTCAAATTTCTTTTGCGACGTTGTTTTAATGTTGAAAGCATACCGGCTGCTATGCCTTACAAGGCTTGGCAAGGGTGGATCGATGACAACCATCAATCATATCAAACCATCTATGGCCAAGTGCCGATTATGCGTGTAAGTTCACTTGTTGGTGTGATGAAATGATTGTAGATCATTCTCCTCAAGGTAATATCCGAAGCGACTTTTACAGTGTGGTGTGGCAAGTTCTTGACTCAGTAACCTTAGAAGCTGACTGCATTGTAACAGTTATCTAACCAATCACCACGAGAAGCAACGCGCACTCACTACATACGATTTCTCGAATCATCACCCTGCAATATATGTAAATTCTCAACTTATGTCGCGTGAAAAGAGGCTCTGAAGGCGATCAAGCCCAATTGTACTCTCCTCCCCCCAAAAGTCGTCATCCCATTTCGCTTTTTCCTCTACTTTTACACTACCGTACGTTTGTGGCTCATTAGCGTGGATAAGGATCATGCATTTTGGTTAAATTTAGCTCTTCTTCGAGCACCTCATGCAAATCTTTTCAAACACGGCATGTCAATCAATCACACGCGCAAGTAATTTAACATGCAGCAAAAAGCGAGATCACGCATGGAGCAATATGAAAAAGCAAAATCTCTTACCGCTACTCCATCCCGTTGCAGATTTCTTCCGCAGAGCCTCGACTTCTTGTTCAACCACAGATCCAAGAACTTGGTCACCCCCTGCTCGATACTGTCGACGTGTTCGATAGTCACCGGTTGAGTGCATGTTTTTTGCCATGAGACAAATGCGGTTTGTGATCTTCTGGTTAGCTTTCGCATCGTTCAACGGGACGGGAAGATTCTTACGTCTCTACGCAAACGCCCTCAAAAAGAAATTAGCGATTATGCCTCATGCCGGATAAAAGAGCCTCCTTTTCTTCCAACATTCTAGAATGATTTCAACCCATATACCACTCTTTGTGTCACCAGATTTGCATCCGCTAAGGCTCATAGGAGCAACTCAGACCGACTTCAATGAGATATTCATCGTGTAACGAAATGCCAAGGTTAAGAAATCTTGCTAGCATGTCTAGCCGGCGCGAGTCTAGTATATGTTCGTTCGTACTAAGATGGAACATATTGAGACACTGCCTCGCTGGACTGCATTTGTAAAATAACCACTAGCAGCGCTAGACTGAATTCTCTTTTTGAAGCAGGTGTCACAGCTGCGAGGTTTCTGGAATCTGCCCCAGCAAAGCTTACTAATGCTGCATCTCACCTGGTTCTCCATGATTATCTCCATACTTGAGATTAGATGACGTAAGTTATGAACTCAAATACGAAGTATCAAGCTGGTATCTATGTGCGCAAGTTGTGAAATTGTGATCCTGCATTGGGGTAAAAAGCCCCTCTGAAATTACATTTGTATAAGATTATGGAACCCAATAGGAGACAATTTTTGCAAGCCCATCGGGAAGTAGGAGGCTGCAGCTTGGAACATCAAACAGGAACAAGCTTTGTAAACGTGAAGTCAACACATTCGCTCACCAGGGTGCGCAGAGGTTGTGATTATCATCATGAGATAGTTTGATGCCAAGAAAAGAAACTAGTAACTTTGATAATGTCTCCCGTTTGAGATGAAAATAGAAGTTCAATCAAAACACGGATTTCGAGTAAAGAAATCATGAATGTGGGAGTAGGGAAAGTCGGTCTGCTCTTTCTGCAGGAATATTTCCACGACACGAACTTTATTGGCACTACATCGCAGTCACATGACCATGCGAGCCCTCGTATGTTGGCAAATGGCACGAGTCGCTGCCAAAGTGCAATGGTCAACTTCGAAGACGTGCGCAGCACTAAGATTTTACCAAGGGCCCCTTTAAAATTCAGTGTTTTTCTCGAGTTCAAGACAATAAGTATATCACCCTGTTCTATCAAAATTGCCTCGCGAAGTCGCGTGAAAGATCCTGCACATTCTTAGAGTGTCCCGACCATGCCGATTATGCCGAGACGGAATTGTACATCATCAGGAAAGAGGTCGCAGAAGCGGACCGCATGATCGACACTTGCTGGAATTGGCCAAGCAGGCCATGAGCTTTTTTGTCTACATAATCCTTCCAATTCAAAAGTATGCAATCATGCTGTAGCACAAGCCAGTGTAGTACTCGGCAATCTTGAACACGACGTACACGGTGCTGTCAGACGGGAGGCCCGCCGACCGAAAGATTTGAATGGTCTCACAGCTCCGGGGGTGAAAGTTCCTTCCGGTCGTTATCAAATCAGCAACCCCTCTTGACATGTCTGGATATTGCAGGTCCTACAAGGTGAGAGTTAAAATACTCTGATCTCAATCGATCTTGTGATACTCTCCTGGCGGTCATGCTGTCCGCAGATCGTCTGTGTTGATTGGGATTTTTGGAAGAAAATATTCCGACTTGTGTTAATTCTTGTTTAATGGGCAACATGGATGTTTCTGTACCTGACTACATCTGAATTCGATACTATCATGTAGCACACATCAGATAACACTTTTGAATCGATGGAAGTTTGGCTACATTTTTTCGTTGTATTCTTTCGTTTGATTCTTTCTTCTGCCCGAGCCGACTGTATCACAGAACAAATCTCCGGGCGTCAATCATACCCAAATAGTCGTGAATATTTGCTAGCTCAACAGGGCGTCTGAATTTAAAGCAATAACCGCATCTGCTTCTCAACTTGGTAAAATAATTCTTAGCATTCCTTTCATTGTGTATAAACTTGTGTGTTGCCTAGAAACAAGTAACACAGCGACCCTGTCAGACTTTAGGGAACCAACCGGAATGATACAGTACGAATTTTTGGAAAACTGCTTGTACAGGGACCCGCAAAGCCTCGAACTAGTTCAGGACGACAATAAACACCTGACAGGGCTTTGAAATTTAATCAAGCCCTGTCCACTTCGGTCTGACATTTTCTTCTGGCGTTGCTCATCCTACAAGTCTGTTACGAAAATTATGAAAGCAAAACTTATGGATAGGGATGATTGAACCCAATATCAACAGGCAAGGTACCATCAAATTCGTGATCACCATAGTATCGTGCTCACTATTCCGTGATATTTCTCGTTGATGTATAATTTCGCTTTGATTAGATCTTAGTCACGTGCTGTTGTGCCTTGGTCGAAATACCCTAAAGAAAGAGAACAAGACAAATTTTTTCCAGAGTATGCTATGCAAGTATCAGCACACTTCCTGTGAGCCTGCACATAATGTAAAAAGTGCAAAATTTGCCATTCCGAGACCAAAAACCGGCTTTTTGGAATCATGTAAAAAAAGCCCATTAGGGTGAGATTCCATCAGATCGATAATTGCACGGATCCTTGGTTCTCCTCCAGTCACAGCATCAATACCGCACCGTGCATTGGGGTATGAACATTACTTAGGTGACTCTAATGATTTACAGAGCATAGGCAACTCTCGCAATGCAGTTACTTTTACTAGTATTCGCCTGTGTAATTGCTTAAGATTCCAGACCTGCACATTGGAGCCAGCGCATACATTATCTTTGCCCAATTCGTGTGTGGTAATTTGCGAAACCTGGTTGGAATAATCGATTTTCTGTTTTGCAAAGATAATCCTCTGTGAACGAAAGTGGGGAATTTTTATTGTGGTTAATTACTTCACCGGGTTGTGTCTGTGGTAGACCTGCCGCTTGTGTCAATGAACCACTCGTAGTAACTGGACAATTCATGTAAAATTCAGATAATGATGTGAGACAAAGCAAGGTACCGGTACTCGTTATGCGATTATTTGAATCTAATAGAAACATTGTTTGACGCATTAATCTAAATTCTCTCGGCCCATCAGCACTTGCCCTCCATAATCAATCAGGGAAAGTCAGGAACGAGAATGATAGATAACTTCAAGATTGGAGTTTTGGTGGGGTGCTAAACATTAATGATGTGTTGAACAATAAGCTTACTAGTGTTTGCCGAAATATAATACTCCATTATATAAAATTCAGCACAATGCTCCCAGCTCTTTACTTTTATTCTCTTTGTTCGCTTTGGGTCGGACTAATAGGACCAAGCATCTGATAAATCAGGGCGCAGTGCAGCGATGCAGCTCAGAAGACTCATCACCGGTAATCATGGAGGATTTTAAGCATCTGCACCACCGTCCTGGACCTTCAGGTAGAATTACCTCCAAAATAACTACATATTCTGTGAATAATTACAGCTGTTAGCGCTTCTTCATGAAACAAAATTAATCTGTCACTAGAGAAGAAGGCTGAATTTGACAACGCATCCAATCACTAAGATTATCCGTCTATTTCACTCTATCAATGCTACATTTTAACGAAAACAACAGAATCTTCCATTTTTTCACATCAATAATGAACGATGCTTTGTAAAAAAGCCTAGGAAAGAAACATATCTTGAATATCGGATATGCAGAGACTCGGGGTGATTGATGATTGATGTGATGGTTGATAGCTAGTGAGAGACTGAAAATTAACCAATTCAAGAAAAGTGAAGATCTACAGGCTTCCAATTGGAGGAGAGAACAGGCCTTGTGTTGTTACACATGCACTGAAAGAAAAAAGCGCTTGATAGCTAGTTGCGTGATCATCGAAGCAGGAAGCTCGAGACAAACCAATCCAAACCTGTCTTTTATGTATATACGTTGATATTTTCTCAAACCTCCAATCATATGAAGAGCGGGATCTATTATATTGCTATCGTCTCAATTAATTAGGTTATTGTGATGGTGATATATTGCTTAGACTTGAGCAAAACCGAGGAAACACTGGGAAATATATTCAAGGGTAGTTTTTTCTCGAAGAACCAAGCTAAGTTCCCGTCGTCAGTCAGGTATAAGCTATCACCAAACTTCATATTACTGGTTGGTTATGTTAATGCGGTGTAGAGGTGATAGCTATTTCTCTACGCACTGCCACTCTTCTATAGTGGTGTTTGTAACTGATGACAGAAATGGATACCTAGGTATTCTTTACATTTACCTGGTTGGTTGCTTTGGCTTGCATTTGACACTCTGAGATATTCGAGGTGTAAGGCGGCATGCTAAGAGAATTTACTACAAGGAGTGCACTTCACGTCGAAAAAAATAGTTTTGCAAGTGGCTCGCAAAATGGTTCGCAAAGGTTCGGCAACCGCACTTTTTAGGCGAAGCACATTTAGACGATCAAATGCTGAACATATATCTCTCTTGTCCCTCTTCACATATCACTCTCTTTCTAAGCACAACCCCTTTATCTTCTCAGAGTCGAGCAGTCAACTCTATTTCTATACTCATCACTTTCAATACTACAAACTTCGCGGTCTGCTTCATCCGGAGCTGAATAAATTTGTAGCCCGCTCCTCTTATAGAGCATATTATATTTCCTCTTTTCTCCTGTACATATCTGGCACTGTTAGTCGAAATACCCTATATACGGTCAACACTTCTTTTGCATTTTAGCATCAGCATTTTTAACAAACGATATATCTTCTTCTAACATCAATTCTTACAACAAACATCCATCATGGCCAAGCATTCAAAAGACCAAGGTCAAAGTCCTAGAAAGCCAAAGCAGAAGACCAAAAAGTAATTCTTTCATTCGAGCCCGTACGCGAAGTATCACTGACATTATTTAGGTCTATGAGTGAAGGAATCTCTCGTGAACTTCAAAGACACGAGTACGATACTGGCACGCAGTCAGAAGCAAGTACCACATCTCAAAAGCAGATTGACGAAGGGGGTCACAACTCCAACGTTGATTCCATGGTTGATGACAGAAGTATCGAGGGTGATCTTGCTCCCATGTCTCATGAATGGGGTTCCGATGAAGCCAATCTTCATCAAGAAGCACCAGAGCAATTAATTCAGGGACCAATCGACAGTCCATTACCTGCAAGTGACTTTCATAACGACGATAACGTATTCCATCATACAGGTGCTCATATCCATATTCCCACTCACTTCGACACCCGATCCACCGGGTATGATTTGTCACAATGGTCGTGGGAAGCTCTTATTGTTACTACCCAGACCGTTCCACTCTCTGCACCATCATCATACAACGCTTCGACTGCGGCGATCGCTTACGACAGTACCCATGATTCCCCAATCACGGCGATTTATAGCCACCCTACAACTACCATACTCAATGACCTTCCGGTGACGACTCAATACCAGCTGGGAAGATGGGTGTATGAGAATAGACATGATGAGACAATAGTAGGCTTCCTTCTCATCAGATGTCTGCGGACGGCTAACTGTACATTAGCCTACCGATCGGATGGAAGGATATTACCATCAACTCTAGACCAAAACATATCAGCACCTGATACTGATCATCGATGAAATGTAAGTGCATGGTATGCCTTACTCTTGTTATCATCTAACATAAACCCAGACTTATAGGATGGCGACTAGTTGTGCAAGAATAGCGAAGTGATGATAAGGCCAGCCAATCGGAGTGAATCTATCGGAAGACTTCGAATCCCAATGCCGAGCTGCACCAGTCTAAAACTCTCAATCCCGAATGTTGTCTTCTGCGGTGGCCATGCTATACCGTCCGATCTCTTTTAGGCGTTCAGAACAAGTACTACTAAAAGCTATCATCGTATCGGGGAATGAAAACATTATCGATCAGATCGAAAAACTCAGCGACGTCTGCCAAGCGTGTATCTTTGGGAAGCGACTCGAAAATCCACAAAAAAACAGTGACAAGCTCTGATTGCACTGCATAAAACCCCATTGGACGAAAAGCATAATTTCTTTTTGGCCTCTCAACATCCATCTGCGAGTCTTGATATCTTTCGATTAGCGTCAGAATACGAAATACTTGCTATAATGGGGCGCCACGGTATTCATCCACTCATGGATCTCTTAAAGACATACACTCCTTGATTTACCTGAGCATATGCTTTAATTCATCTACCTCGCATATCAAATGATGGTCTCGTTATACGAAAATGTGCTTGCACATCAGGATGGTCAAATCGAACATTTGGGAGGTCCAGAAAGAGATAGAAATTCGCCTGGCCGCAGCCATGTGTAGATTGCAAGTTTCTTCGTACGAGTCTCATTTTTCTTCCGACAGCAAAGAATTGTGTCGTTTGCGTAGCATGGATAGTTCCAAAGTATTCGAGACAACAAGTGTTATCTCGAATGAAAACCAGACACTCCAAGGAGAATTATTTATCTCGAGGGAACTTGGCTGCTATGCGACAGGGGCATTTCATCGTTTTTGGCCATGAGTCATGTCGACTCCTTTCGTTCAGTCCCCATTGCGTGTAGTTTGATGCCAGATTCCTTCGCTTTTCGTACGAGTGATGGATGCTCGGGATGAAAGCTTCTGGCAACAAAATGCCTCGCATCGAGAAGTTATGTATAAGACGCCATTTTCGACTGTATTTTCCTTTTAAATAGATCTATCTCAAGTTGTGCTTGTGTATCAAGAAAAAATTTCATTTCCAAAATAGATTTGCAAGGTGGAGGAAGATGAGGTGACATCTTGGTTGGAGGGGCATTCGAGAATTCTCTTCGGAGTCGACTGATTCTTCCTTTTTGCGACTCAAAATATATATTTCTCTTTTTGATAGCTTATCTGTATTAGCGATTGATCCCCATAATTATATATACCTTTACCAAAGCTTGAATAGTACCTATTGCGAAGGTGGTACAAGGTGCAGCTATACGACTTGGCGATACAAAACATTCTCCTTCATTTATAAAAACTTCGTTCTCCGTCTCTTTGATTCGACGTAAGCGGTATAGCTGTACCAATGAACAAACATCAAGTCGTTGCCGTCATATCGAATTCGTTCTGTAGTAAGTTCGCGAACCACTTGATAAATTTTCAAGAGTTTCCATACCAACTGACCTGTTTCTGGCCCACATATTCCATGTACAAGTAGGATTTACCCTGGCACAAGGCTGAGTTATCCCCAGCTCTTATTTTAGGTTATCGAATCGAGATTCGACAGATGACGTAGATTCAACCTTGTATGCAGCCCTACGACACGAATTAATTTCTTCCCAACAATATCAACAAAGTCTTCAACAAAATCTTCAACAAAATGCTTGAGAATTAGTATATTGAAATGAGGGTGCAGTAACCCGCAGAATTTGGAGGGGATGGTGACTTATGGAGTGAGAAATGATAAATCAACCCGATTTACCCGAAGAAGTGTCATCTGAGAGATCTCGCTTATGTCACCCCTTGGATTGGTTGCATTGAACCCCACCTGTTCTTCCTGAGATGTTACTCTTAATGGATTAGACCGTTTCAATTTCTGGATTGATCGATATCAGCTTCACGAACTATAGCCTACTACCAAGGATGAATATTCGGTACTTTCGATTCCGATTTATGATCACTCAATAATATTTACCGTTACATCGAGCTGCGTTATCTTGTGTCTGACATGATAAACACGAAATTTGATAGCTTATCTAACGAACAAATGGTACCAAACTACCAGTCATTCAATCATCCTTGGTCACTTCCAATAGTCTTCTTCCCTCCCAAGGTCCATTTTCTACACCTGGAGCCCCCCAAACCTTCACCAAAACCAGTCCCACACTCTCGATCAGCTTCTTGAATTGCCTCTCTGTCCTTTCTAATGCCGAAAACCCGCCCATCATCATCCAGTCTGTACAGGCACTCTCAAATGATGCATTCTCTTCTTGCATCAAATTCTCGTTGATCAATAACACACTGTCTTTACCCATCGCATCCTTAATCTGTTCGAGGATGACAGAGGCTTGCTTGTCAGGCCAATCGTGCAGAACGTTGGCGAGAAAATAAGCTTTTGCATTGTGGATAGGTTGTGGTTTGAAGAAGTCATATGGTTGAGCTTCAATGCCGTCAGGAAGAGAGCCTGGCGCGATACCAGAAACTACTACCGGGATATCCTCTACAATAAGTTTCCCTTGAAGTCTTGGGTGTGCTTCTCTAAAACGAACTAAATCATGTCCAATACCTCCTCCAATATCAACTATCAGTGGATCTGTAGGTGATTCTACCTTGAGCTTTTCCGCAACAGGGAAATACTCATACCATGCCGTACGACCAATAGTGCGGGGAATGGTCATCACGGTATTGAAAGCATGTTGAATACGTGGTCGAGTAGCCATCCAATCAAAACAATGGAGGTCTGTTTGTCTAGCAAACTGGAATGGACCATCGTATGCATCGTTGGGGCTCTGATAGCCGTTTTTGGCAAAGTATTTTGGGAGAGCAGCTACAACTTCATTTTGGGTTGTGCTAGAAATTGTTAAATATGAAAGAGAAACTTGAAGTTAGGTTTCACATACAAATGAATCAACGCTTGACCATATGGAGATGATGCGACCAGAGCGCTTGCTAGTGGCGTAGGTTTGTAGGTTTCTCTGGCTATTTCAGTGAAGTAACCCATTCCTACCAACAGTCTCATGACTCTAACTGAATGGATGATCAGTTCCTTACATTCCTTAACTTCTTCTGATCGCGACTTACCAATAAGCAACGTATCGGCATCTTTTGGCAAAGCCAGATCTTCGGCTCGAATTTCTTTTCCAGACGCGGACAAAACAGCTGCTGTATCGAAAATCTCCATGTCCACTGCGAGGCTAATTGCTACTGGATGGAGTGACTGGAATTTCGTCAGAAACTATTTGGACATAGGAACAAAATGAATACCCACCGAGAATATCATTTTCATCAATTTATCCCGAGGACCCTCTAGGCTTGATTGTAGTTTTCCACACGCACTAAGGAGCTTCCCTTGGTCTTCATCATTAAACTCACTAGATTTACTAGTAGCAAGATTGATAGAATCGATAAGCTCTGAGACGCTCATGACGAAGACTTGTTCAGTGGGTGTGGCCGTCGTGAACGGCACGTGATAAGGAATGGAGAAAAATATGTTTCGCGGAATGGTTGCAACAGTGGGAATAAGAGAACTCAGAGGATGGAAATTAGAGATAAAATTGAATATTTTAGGAAGCCGAAGTCAAGTTCTATAGAGAAATATATATACATTTGTTATATCCGCGCACGTGACAAAACCGCGCCCGCGCCCGCCTCCGCGGAGCTTCCATTGTCCGCCGGAGCCTCATACTTTCGAAGAACTAGGTCGAAGTTGAGTTGCTTGATTCCGAACGGCTGATTACTGGTGCCTATCTGAGTGCTTTGAACAAAGACCCGAATAGTCGCCTGAAAAGATGTGTTTTGACGCGTCACGAAGCGGGTCATTCAAGATACAATGTTGCTTGTGGTGAAATGTAGAATGAGCAACAAAAATATTTTCGCTAGTATCCACTTTTCATGTATTCATTCAGAGGTCTATTTCTCCAGAATCTCTAAATTTCATTTTTGGTGACTCCTCGAGCAGATCACTAGATTGTAAAACAAGGGTGTCACGTTTCGTGTACTATGGTAATTTGCGCTACAACCAAGTTAGTACTAGCACGTCCAGCAGCACGTGTAAGCTCTACAAAACCGACTCCATTGCAGTCACTTTCTCCATGTGGTACAACATGGAGCCTCTCAGAAATTTTTGGCTCGACTTTGAGCTGCATCGATGATGTACTGTCCATGGTTTTGCAGGCTTTGTCTCGATTTATTGTTAGGATCGCCCAACGGTGTCAACATAACTACTATTCCTTGGTGTTACGTCCTGTCTCTGGGATAGAGAAAGGCTGAGAGAAGAGAAAGCGGGGCAAGAGATTGGAGGTATCTTCCGCAGTTGAAAGAGAGGATCGACATCAGCCAGAATTTGGGGATAATCATTGGATCCAAGTTCATTCGCACCCCTCATGTTCATGTCGCGTTTATGTCACAGTCCATATCAAGTCCGATCAGGCTAGATGTTACTGTCAGGTTGTGTCAATCGGGCCTGCCGAAAAACATCACCCCACTCCAAATGAACCGTTCAGAGTATTAGCTTGCAGTGCAAGGCAGACTCAATTCGCATATTTGACCGGAGAAGCTCGAAGCAGGGGCTCAAGCAGGAATTGTAGTATCAATCCATTAGGCCTTGCATGAAAGATCGACCACGAACATTGAGTCGCAGAAATTGGTTGCAGTTTCCTAGTCATCATCAATCAACCAATTTTATCAAGTGCTAGTGTATACATGTCGACCTCGCACTATGACTATATCAATCAAGCTGTAGATGTTTATGGGGTAACAGGAGGTCGATACTTCTGTTAAATGCTTGTATGTTTGCGGGATAACACAAACCATTCGTCATGAATCTGTGACATCACGTCCGATATCACTGTTCTTAAACAATGGTAAATCAAGACTCATTTCATTCGTCCGGATTGATGAGCTCGTTTTATTGTCTGCAGGTTTCTTCTTTAGGACTTCATGTGGCGAGTTCTGTCAGTAAATGGAAGATGCAAACATTGTAACGGGTAATGGCAGTCAAAGTTGCCGTTTGTTGTACAACATACCATAGTTACTCATAGTTAGAGCTCAGCGTACTACCCACAGATGGAATATTGTCTTCACAAATTAAAACTAATGCTAGGTCATCATCCTGGTCTCGTTACTGTTCGTTTCGATGCAAGCCACTATTATCATGATACCTTCCACAACAGACTTGAGATATCAGGCTCCCTAGATATTTCGTTCTAAACTAGCTGTATTTATATCATCTCCATTATACCCGATACGTGGAACTTTAATCGAATCTTCGGCTTATCACTTGTCTAATGAGAAGTTTCCGCCAAAAAATTTCCAGATCATAATTTCATCAACTAAGCAAAGAAATATGTCTACAACTCCTATAGGATCATGCCCACTCGGCGGGAATTGGTAAGCTCCATATTGTAGCCAGGCCCAGAATATCGCTGATAGATTTCTTTTTTTCTCAGGTGGATATGTCTAGATCAGTCGCCGACATTCTTCGGGTGTTGCGCCAGTGATCCATGTAATGGAATTGGCTGCCCTGAAGAAGACCTTTTAGCTGCAGGAATGGGAACTGCGGGTGGTCCGGACGCTTCTAGCAACGATGGATCGTACTGGCCAAATGCGGGTTGCCCCAGCGGAGGAGTCTGGTATACTTGCTCCAGACAAACTCCCTCATTTCAAGGTTGCTGTGATGATAGCAATGAGCCTGGTTCGATGGAGAAATTTGATCCATGTCATGAGAATGGTTGTCCATTATCCAGGCTCTACGCTGCAGCATTCAACAGCGTTCCAGCTGAATTTACCTCTGTTATTTCCTCTAAGTCTCCATCTGTCTGCACTTCATCATTGTCTATTTCAACAATTTTGACTTTACCGTCCTCGACTTCATCATCTTCGACGCTATCTTCGATCTCTGCACCTCATTCAATTTCTTTACCTTCGACTACCTCCTCTACTGTAACAAATTCTGCTGCTGACACTACATCGACCCAAACTCCATCATCTCAAGAATCGGCTACAGCGAGTGTGACAGTAAGCTCAACTGCTCACAGCTCAAACTCAAAATTACCCATTACTGCAATCATAGGGAGTGCTTTAGGTGGAGTGGTTATTATCCTACTTGTTCTTTTGGTTATCTTTTGTGTCCAACGACGGAAAAAGAGATCTCCATTGGCAGGTGCAGTCGAGCCATATTATCAACCACCAACTCAAGACATGTCCGTGGTCAAAGTTACTTCATCACCTTTCGTATATGAAGGTGGCCCTTCAGACGCTAAAGCGTCGCAGAAAGGTAATTACATCTGCTCCAGGAACAGCAGAATGTCTCATTAATGATTTAGCAGATTATCGCCCAGTATCAGAGATACCATCATCTCCACCTCTTATTCCTGCTCCACCTTATCAATCGGCGCCTCAATCTCCAGACTTTTCTAATTACCATGAGATCGACTCTTCCATTTTACATGAAGTCGAATCCCCGCCTCTTCAACAAAAATCATTTTTTTCCCGACCAGGAACAGTAGGACTACCAGAAACATCCGAGGATCCTTCCCGGGCATCATTACCGGAAGTTTTGAAATCGGAGTCTTCCAGAAATTGAGATATGCAGGACCACATTGGAGTGATATTGAGAAGTGGGGTGCTTTTTCATTTTCACGTATGTTTCTTCGGATCTGCCTCACGAATTTCACCATCATCGTTATTCACATAGTACTTACTATATTGAATAACGGGGTGTTCAAAGAATACTGCTCAATATCCGCACGAATTTGCGTTCGAGAGAGGTGAATCGGTCTCTCGTGATCTTCTTTTTGTCGATTCACAAATTTAGTAACGAATTTCTCATTAGCCCAATTTCCATTTCCTTCTCAATTTTTATTTACAAAAGGTTTGCTGGAAGCCTAGTAACCTTTAGCTCAAACATTTTCTATCACTTTCTTAATCCATCTTGAAACTCCAAACGCCATACCGTTCATCCTAATAACCTACCTTGTCCGGCTTCTACCGATATTCTGGCGATATGACAAACGATACTATGGGTACTTGTCCTCTAGGAGGTCTTGTGAGTATAATAATTTCTTTGCTTTGAACCTACCTGCTCGAATGTCTCCAGAGTACTCGTCCCGTAAATGTCATTCATTTATTTTACAGACCATCACTAACCAAATGTTTTGATAGTGGTGGGGCGCTCATCTATCATCTTGTATAACAATGCTGAATGATTCAATTATAGGTATATCTGCACAGCTCAAACACCAACCTTTTTCGGATGCTGCACGAGCAACCCCTGCAACAGCAAAGGGTGCCCAGAGAGCGACCTTCGAGCAGCTGGACTCGGACACGGGGAAGCTGGAGACGAGGGATCAATGAATCTTGGCTCCTATTGGCCGAATGTGTATTGTTCTTCTGGAAGTTGGTGGATATGTTCAAGCCAAAACCCTTCATTTCAAGGGTGCTGTGATATCGATCCATGCTCTAGCAACACTACTAGTTGCCCTCAAGCTCATCTATATCCTGCGGCATTCAAGTCGGTGACTCATGCTTTGAACTTTCCTGGCTCACATAGCACTACGTTTCAGACGAGCTTCCTTCCAACGGCAACTTTTCCACTCCCTACAATTTCTACGACGATCCCGCCTGGAGCATCTACAAATGATCAACTTCTATCATCAGCATATCCAAAATCGTCAAGGACTACACGTTGGAACAGTACAAGGTACTCGACCCAGTCATCTTTGAACTATTCAAACTCTGGAGATGAGCCTACAGCGTCCTCAACTCTCTATTTGACCACATCCGATATCCCAATTTCCACCGGAATTGCGCCATCAAGTACAATATTGACCAACTGCAATGCTGCCAACGGTAAAGGCACATTTATGTCAGCTGTTCCCCGTATTGTGACTGTAACATCGATATCGACATTCACAGCTGTCCGAATATCGGTGTATACATTACCTTATATCTCATCAGACACTACTTACCTCTCTGACTCACTACCTTTATTCACAATCACATCAACCTCCGTTCCAACATCTCCTGATCCCTCTTCCATAACCTCTCCTCTCTACGCAGCCAGCTCCACATCCCTATCTCCAACAACTAGCACTGCCCTCCCTTCCGGCACTACAACCGATACGAGACTCATCGCCTGGGGCGCTAGTGGCGGGATCGCCTTTATCTTGGTCTTCGCGCTCGTATCTTGGCTTCTACATCGTCGTCGAAAACGAGCCAACAAGAACAACAGCAAACCAATTACAACTTCCTTATCTACTCGACTACCATGGAAAAAGACATCTAAAGAAATTCCCCGCATTTCTCTCTCCAGCTATCCTTTCAAAGGAATGGCGCCGTCTATATCGAACACCAGCGAAGAAGGAGCAAATGAGACCTGGTCTGCCAGCTTGAGAGACTATCGGAATCTGGGCCTTATGAGTATATCGAAATTAGGTTTGAATAATGGTACGTGTCCTGCTGTCTGTGCTGCTTTCAATAGACTAACGATTTATAGATTCAGAGCCTAGTCATCAAAAGCCAACGCATCTCTCTGGATATGAATCGCATTATTCACGACCATTCCAATCTCAGGCTTTACCTAGCAATGAAATCTCAACATCTCTTGGAGGAGGATTGGATAGGAAATCTTTTGCTCAGAGAATGGTGCAGAGGGGTTGGGATGCAGTCGACCTGCAAAGTGGTTATGTAGCGCGAGATGATGGAAATGGATGGCATGGCGAGCACGATAGGAGGCGCTGATGTGGAGTTGTGAAGGAAATCATTTGTTTCGGTGGTGAAAGCATTCTTTTAATGCGGGTGGTCGTATTTTACATATTCGTATTAGAAATCTAAGTATTTATCAAAATCTCAAATTCTAATGCTTGACCTTATACTTCGAGCTTTCCGTCTCCAATCACTACAACTAACAAGGCACTTTTGATTGGTCCTACACTATCTCATTCCATTCCATACCACCATTCTTTCCTCTTCTCCTGTATGGTCACGTGCATATATCCTGCCACGATTACCAGATGTCGATCCACCCATCGTCACACTGCATAAACATGAAGATCTGTTTGTCAATTGTGACACAACTCCCACTACTTGAAATCGGACCAACAGAAGTGCGATTTTAAGTACTCGCTCGTCCGTCCAGTAAACAGAACATCAATAGAGAACTCTACACGTATTTTTCGGGAAAAGCAAATGCTTCTGATCTACAAGTACCAGGTATCAATCTGACAGAGCTTGTGAGCAGGCGAGTATTTAATATGTTGTCCAGGAGCCTACTCGGTGGTGTTTTTGAAGAAGCATCGCCGAGTAGGTACCGTGTGTGAGCCCGTAGGTATTCAATCGCGTTGAAGTCGAAGACATAATCGATTGTGCTGATTTGTTAACACCGATTTAGCGTATATCGCGTCGGAGTTGTACATTTTCTGGCTGTACGGAAGCTTGTGTTAATTATCGTCGTGCACGGAAGAAGGTGCGGGGTTGATTATAAAGTAGTCGTGTTGACAGCAACCCCTCTTCTTTTTTTCTTTCCTTAATCTCAACTCTTCCAACGACAACAACAACAAATTGACAATTCGTGGATAAACTCTGACCTTATAACTCCAATACCCTTGCAATCTATATCCCAAAAATAATCGGATAAGCCGCCAAAATGTCCGTAATTGTCACCGTCATATACCCTAAGACCGAAACCTCGACTTTCGATTTAGACTACTATATGAAGACACATATGCCACTTGTCCAAGAGAAATGGGGTGCTCACGGATTGAAGAATTGGACTGTTACCAAGTTGGATGAGAGCGCAGGATACTCTATGTATGTTTTCCTCGAGTTTTGTGTGCTGTTCTTGTTCCAGGTATATATATATATATATGTGTGTGTGTAGGAAGATGATTGCTGGACACCGAATGACAATTATGTGGTATGATGGCTAATCAAAGAACTATAGGCAAGCAATTCTTTGGTTCGAGAGCAAGGAGGCATGGGCTGCCGGTGCAGCCGCCGAAGGCCCAACTATTATGGGAGATGTTCCAAACTTCAGCTCAGAGAAGCCTTTGCTTGTTGTTGGAGAAGAGGTCAAGAGAGTTGTTTAAGGTTATGGTCGCTGAATTATGGCTGTGATTGTTTTGACGCTTCTCGTGGTTGAATGACCTGGGCGTCGTACGAAGTTTAGTGGTAAAGACAATACGATTTTGAGATATTGTGGATATTTTTATATCTGCATTAGCAAACCCAAATTACGACAAGTCGGTGGCTTTAGTATCGTAGTGATTATTAGCTCCTCCATATTTTCATGTCTCTTCTCAAGTGAAGAAATGACAAATAAGCTTTCCCATTCTGCGAGTTTATTCTTCAAATTTCCAAGGATTGAGTTTATTTGGGAAGCTCCTTTTGTAGGATCATTTTCTTCCTCTAAAAGGTCTACATGCCCTAGAAAGCTATAGATGCGCGTGTCGCGATCCAAAATGAAAGTAGAGGGCTCTTTTTTCTTGCAACTGCTCCGACGTGAAGTATTTCGTTTATGCAATCCATTTCTTCAATAGACCGTTCGGCTTGCGCTTGCTGTCTTCTCTCTGCCGTGATGTTTCTATTTTTGAATAACAATCCGTACATCGTTTATGAGTAAGCCAATTAGGGGGCAGGTTTGCCTTTGGTGTAGCTCTCCTACATCGACAAATGTACACATCCTCTCCGTCTACTTGGATAAATTTACCAAGCCGATACCATCCCTTCCAAATTGCACACTGCAGACAGAGACGAAGATAGCGCTGCGGGCCATCGCGGATTCTTTTCCCTCTTGTCTGAGTGTCTCTGAATTTGGCTACATGTCGCAAGCGTAAACAGTTATTACAGGCTAATAGTTGTCTTTCTATTGCAAAGTTTTCCGATTCGGTAGCAAGGATTAATTCACGAAGCTCTTCATCAGTGGGGGTGGGAGCTGGAATGGTGGCGTTGTAGAAATGGTTTGTCTGTCTGAGTTTAGTTTTCCCTACAAATCCTAAATTTCTGATGATCTGGTATTGGATCTCGGCAGGTAGACTTTCCAAAGTGCGAGGCTCAGGACTTAAGCAGGATGTTGCCAGTTTGACAGATTCGAGGTATGATAGGCATGCAGTGTGGAGTGCCTTTGCGGAAGGTGCTGTAGGTGTTGGCGAGCACCATATCTTTGCCAGGAGTTTACACTCGGTTGACATTGTAAAGATATTGTGGTTGAACGACGCCAGAATGATGGAACTGATGGGATTGATTGAATTGACAAGATGTCCCGCTGTAATTGATGTATCAGAGAGTTCCCGTTGAGATGATATGGTAGTAATGATGTTAGATTAGTATTGTGCCGAGAATCGCAAGGTCTGATCAAATTGGCGGATGGTGTATGGCGTATGTATGACTCTCGTGTTGAGGTAACAGGGGAAAAATGTGATGTTTATATCACGAAGCTGATGCAGATCATGAATCTTGGAGTATTAATGAACAGAATATGGTTGAAATATCGAATTAAGACCATAAAATTACGATAAAGACAGAGATATGGGATTTAAGAAAAAAAATCGAATTCTCAAAAGTGTGGGAAATGTCATAAGCTGCCCAAATAGATAGTGTGAGGAGACTAGTCGATCGCTGGTGATCTACCAGGCTAAATTCTATGTTTAGGAATAGATGGATCGATTTGATTGGCCAAAATCAGATAATCTTTGGTTAGTGTTCGTGAGCCTCATTAATCAAGACGTCTTAAAGACTTGATTTTCTTGTATGTCCTCTTCACTTGTCTATGAACACTGTGTCATTTCCTATGATACCATTATGGTGAGTCATCGATCTCAATTATGACCATTTTATTTCATCCCTAATAAAATCTGGTACTGCCGAAAGATTTCTTCCCTTCTTGTGTTCTGCTGCGATGAAGTTCACATATTCACACCGACGACTTTTCTAACCAAGAGTCGGTCATTTATAAAATAACTCTACCTCTTCTTGATATTCTATCTTCATGCGGGAATTGAAGTAATATCGTACATGGAACATGATATAGGAGAGTTAAATCACCATGAATACTTCCCCATTTCCAATACCGATTCAAAATTTAATTGGATAATTCCCTTTATCTCTCCTCGCTAATCCCCTTTGGTTTCCTCACCTAGATACCTTTTTTCTTCAACACAGATAGAGAGATCTTGGTAATTCATCAGATAGCCGATACGCGTCGGGAATCCCGTAAAGCTGTTGCAATCACCTCCCTGATTCTCGGACCATACCTGTATCATTATCCAAATCCAAGAATTTAAACCTCAAAAAGATGATCGCCTCGAGTATAATACTGACATCGCACAAGAATCTCGGTACTAGACTAAAAACTGGTCAAAATTATAGATATGCAACAAAACTTTCATATACACAAGCTAATGCACCTGATTTCCTAGGCAAGATTCACGATGTGCAACAGATCTTATAAATAGTGCCTCGTATGTGGGATATCGCTGTTTCTGGGTCATGGATACCCAGGACCTTGCCTTTTTTCTATCATGTTATACTAAACCTTGTTGTTCTCAAGGCATAACATGCTGTTATATGGTTTTGACCAACAACAAAGATTCTGAAGATTCATTAGATGCGTTGTAAACGCAAGACCAAGCAAAGTGTGAAAATCGATGGACTTTAATTTTCTTGATAAAGGAAATCCAAAGGTAAAGGATTTAATACGTCAGATGCTGCACAACAAAGAATATAAGAGGCAAAACTTGGTACTCAGATCCTCGCTTTCTCTAACAATGGAATCTTTACAACACCAATCCGGTGCTCTAAGAAAACAAAAAAACATGAAAAACTGAGCTTCCATTCGTATCGAGCCACGGAGCTCAAAAATTGCAAAGATCATTAACGTCTCAAGATGGCCGCTCAGCCATCAATATATACTCACCTCGCAGAAACGCATACGCACCCTACAGGAGACGACCATAAAGCGTTGCATCGACTTCCTGGCCTACTCAAAAGTGGTATTACGCCCATTACACCACCTCCATACGAGAATTATTATAAGCATAAAGCGCACCAGGATTTAAAATGGTACCAGTCTCAAAGATTCAATGGTATTTCTCTCTTCCGTTTTCTTACCACCTCTCCACCGTTGAACTTTCCAGAGGAATCAGGAATAATATTAATTGGCTTCATGATCAGGCTTCACGACGCAAGAACTCCATCTTCACGATGCGTTTGCCCCGTATTCTAATTTGAAAGCGACTGGGAAATTAACGTGTCCTATTCATCCGATTCTGCAAAGATCGAAATGGAGACGGCAATTACCTGCTCAATTAGCTAGATACCCGCTTGGGAATGGGCGAGAAGGATACTGGGATGCTGTACGAAGTGGAAGTTCCAAATGATGGGGCATATGCTGATGATTCGAGATGGTAGTGGGAAAATGATACAGTTTGGAATATGATGGTACCATCATTGCAATTAACGACGATGTTCATGGCAAATCTGTATACTTGGCCTTGGTGAGTCATTCTGTTTCCCGGTGTAATTGGATGCTGACTTTGTAGGTTTGATGCTTTATTCTTCGGAGAAATGGAAGAGGTAGACCCGGTTGATCTACCACCCGAACTACGGGGGAAGAGGGGATATCAACGATTCAAATTACGACGCCCTGAGATATGTGCTCAATTTGATGAGCGTATGCGTGTTCAAGAAATGCTTGAAAGGTTTCGGGATGATGTTATTCTAGATCTGAGTAGTGGACACACAGATGCCAAATCCGGATTACCAGATGAATTCGAGTTCGCAAACACAAATGGGACTCTAGATATAATTACCAAAAGAGGAATAGGTATATCAATGGCTTTTGAAATATTGGAACCATTGTTTAATGACAAGATAACTGAAGCGGAGCGAATGATAGTTGCATATAGATTTGCGGCCACCGTACTGCATGAGCTTTGCGTGAGTTTTTCAAAACTTACATACATTTATATATATTGAACAATTTATCCTCGTGCTGACTGTGAGCACAGCATGCCTTTTGGGATTGCCTGCGGAAATGGGGCATAAGAACAGATGGTGAGGATGTCGTTGGGCAGAATTTGGAACCATGGTTCGAACATCAAAGAACCTCTGAATTGTATGTGTTGCCTCTGATTAAATTCCTAAATCCTGTGGATGTTTGCTGATTGATGATAGAGGCTTTTCAATGGAAAGCTTTGTGAGACTACCCCTTATTATAACTCTATTTTTGTTTCACAGTGAGCTGATACCTTTGAAAGGTATTCGATGGTATTGCCCAAGATTTCTTGCGGGAAGACAGTGTGCCTTGTCGGGGCATTCCGCCCATGGGATTTTATCTGTAGGACTTGGATTTTGCAATTTTTCCCCGTGATATGATACTAATCGAAGCAGGAGCGAATTTGACAAATCAGTAACGGAGCCATTAACAACGAATCCATTGATTCTCATTAGGAAGCCACACGATTATTTTGTTTCACACGCATGGCCAATAACTTTGACTTATTTTATAGATATCCAGAACCAACTTTGGTGGAATACATACAAAGCGGTGTAAGTGGTTTCTGCCCAACTACAGACTGTGAGTTTGCTAATTCTTGATTGTAGATTCGGACCTAGAAGTACGCATATTCCGAAACTATACGGGAAGAGAACCTTGAACAGGCCAGATGGTTCACCCCCTGAGCCACCTTTTGCTGGCTTCGAAAATAGAGATTTAGACACCAGGATGATAGGAGCAGAACCGATGAATCAAATACAAAGCGCTGTAGATTGGTTCTGTAACTCTTATAAGCAGCGCGCGCATGCAATCAGAAATGCAATAATTGCTCACGGAAATTTAGAATCTAGTTACTTGCTACCACCCTATCCTCCAGGAGGAGGCAATGAAGAGGAGGACGAAGAATCTGATGAGGAAGAAGAAGAGATAGAAGACGATGATGACGACGAAGAGATACCTTCTTGTCCACGTTATGATGAGATCAAAAATTACTTAATCAACCAGAAGAAAGAATTGGCTATTGATACGATGAAATTCAGAATGCCAGAACATACTCTCCATCAATACATACGTAGAAATGGTGGAATAAATTTGAGTGCCGAAGAATGGAGAGGATTTCTCTTAAATTCTAGCGAACGTAAAGAATTGTTTCAGTAAGATACTCGCAGCTACGCACTGTAGGTTTCAGGGCTAACCGATCAGAATCCGCGACAAAAACGGAAAGCCACCAACCCCGTACCATGCAATTCTACGCACTCTTAGTAATGGGTGGCCTACAAGCTCACCAGCCCCAACAGTCCCGTTGCAAGTGAGGACTTCTGAGGCACAGACAGAATGCTTCTCCAATGCAACCAGAATCTATTTAGCAGACAGAAAAGAACCTTGGTACAGATTGGATTTCTGGGATGCCGATCTAGAGATCTTTCTCGTATTGTGTAATAACTGGCTGGCTGATAACAACCAAGCTCCTCTTCCAAGAGATAATTTCGAGGCATGTATACAAGCAGGTATACAGCCTCGATTTGTGTAAGTTTCGGATGTCCAGATTTCCTGAATGGCTTACTAACAGTGCAGTCTTGGCCCCAAAGGCATTGTTCGCAAATTACCTGGGTCGCCTCCGCAACCAAAGAGATCCAAGAAAAGATCTGCCCAAGGCCCTCAACTGGGTCCTCCTTCAAAACATCGGGTTCAAAATCGCCCTAGATGATGGTTTAGCTTTGTGCGATTGGCATGAACAGTATTGTATACTGAACGTGTCTGTCACTACAATGCAATTATCAAATGGATCTGCAAAGCTTTATATGCAACTTGTATCCTATGTTGGTAGCTTGATTTGAAGCCCCCATGGCATTCGCTTCCCGTAAAAAGAAGCTTGTTATCTATCGTGTGCCTTTCGATTATGTATCTGTGTCGCGTTCGATGAGGTAAGTGCCTGGGATTCATTAGCGATAGGGGACTATGATGATTTGCATGCATGCAAACTATTACCGGTGAGATAACGTCTAGTCATGGTGAGTGTAGTAGATATATAGTCACGAATTGTAGTCCGGAAAGCTTGTTGCAGGTCTGTCGATGAACAATCGGAAGACGCAACGGTTTGCAACGGTTGGTATTCCCGACAGATAAGATAAGATCCCGATAATTTTGCCGTAAAATGTAAAAGTAGAAGGCGGTGAGAATTCACAGCGCCCAAAC